CTCCTTCCTCCCCATTCCTCCTTCCTCCCCATTCCTCCTTCCTCCCCTTTCCTCCTTCCTCCCCATTCCTCCCCATTCTTCCTCCCTCTGTGGTCTCAGCTCACACCAGTCACCCCCAGCCACTTGCCCAGCTAGGGTGCTGTGGCATATGAACACCATCCTCATGCCTGGAAACCTGCTGAGACTTACCAGAGGCCACCAGGACCAAGAGGAGCTGTGGATATTCTCAGGCAGATGAAGGCAATGTAGCACCATATCCCAGCCTGTGACCACCCTCTCTGCTGCTGGACTCAGCTCCTGGTGCAGCTGACAGTCACTGGGGCGTCCCCAGCACCTGCCTGAACTGTTCAAGGGCTGCAGCACAGAGTCCCAAGCTAGGGCTCATAATTCAGGTCTACAGAGGTGGAGATTCAGTCCTCTCCCTCTCCCTCCTTTCTGCTTCCAGGACGCTGGGCACATTCTTACTTATGAACTTTACTCCAAGGTGTGATAATGTGGAAGTTGATCATTTATTCACGAGAGCAGTTTTTTTAGGACATGAAATTCAAAATCACATTTAGAACATATTACAAATAAGGCTTGCCATTTCCTGGTGTTTGCAGAGACAGCAAGATGATCTTCAACTACCTAGCCAGGGTGTAGAGAGAGGGGAATGCCCACATGCAGACCAGAATGAGGGGATTCAGTGTCCACAGCATTGGAGCACCATGAGCTCCATGACCAGTGTTCTGGCTGGTCATGGCTGTGCTGTGTGGATATTTGGACGTTGTCCCTGCGGACCTCTCTGTGTGTTCCAGGGTGTACAGGCGCCACTGTGTACCAGTCACCACCCCCAGTCTCCGTGTTTTCAACTGTCATGAGATGGTAAGCGTGATCTGGGGGAGGGGGTGGCTGGGCATTGTCACTTTGTCCCACCAGGTCCACTCACCCTTCCTCCATCCTGCTCTCTACCCTGGGAGGTTGATACATGTGTACCGCAGCATGGCCCTTGTGGCCTCTGACTTCTGGGTTTGGCTGCTGGGGGCTTTGCAGGTGGCTGCAGGAGGGCCAGGGGGCTTACTTCCCAGACTGCACCTGTGGGTTAAGCACAGCCTGGCTATGTCCCTTGACTAGAGACCCCAGCTTCCTCCCAGACCACCTTCTCTACTTGACTCTGCTCTCCCAGCCTGTATCACCTACCCCTTCCCGGGACCCTTTGGACTCAAGCGAGCAACAGCCCCTGCCCCTCCTATTCCTGGTACAAGGCGCTTGCACTGCCCTCTTGCTGAGCCGCTTAGCACCTGCTAAGCAGTCCCCATGGGCACATGCCCTCCGCTTCCAGCTGGGGTCCTGGCATGAGGGGGAGTTCGATACTGACTGAGACTGAGTGTTCACCACAAAGCCAAATGGGGACTTACAATGAAAATTCGGTTGAGTTTCAGAAAACCTGAGGAGTGGTGTTTCTAGCCGGCCTGGGCTTTCAGGTTGGACTCATGCCCACGGCAGCAGTGTCATTGTAGAAGCTCAGAAGACCAGCATCCATTCCCTTATTTGGAGCACGTCTAGTGGGCGACTTCACTGCACCTTTTAATCTCCTGGGAAGCTTTAAAAACATCGATGCCTGGGCCACAGCATAGAGAGTGTGGGGTACAGCCTGGGTGTGGGATTGGGGACCCCCAGGTGGTGCTAAACAGCATCCAGGGCTGAGCCCACCAAGCCAGACCCTGGGCCTCCAGAGGCAAACACAGGCCATCCTGTGCTTAAGAACCCCACAGTCTGAGGAGGGAGGCCAAGAAGTCACTACTAAAACATAATGCTACCAGAAAGGGGCCCCAATGCCACAAGAGAGGGTTTGTAGACCTCATGCAAGAAAGAATTTGGGGCCAGTCCATAGAGTAAAGCAAAGGCAAGTTTGTTAAGAAAGTGAAACAGAAGAAGGGCTACTCCATAGGCAGAGCTGCGACAGGCTGCCGGGCTTGAGGATACTCAGTTATTTCTTGACCACATGCTAAACAAGGCGGTGGGATATTCACAAGTTTTCTGAGAAATGGGTGGAGATTTCCTGGAACGGAGAGTTCTTCCCCTTTTTAGACCATGTAGGGTAACTTCAGGACGTTGCCATGGCATTTGTAAACTGTCATGGTGCTGATGGGAGTGTCTTTTAGCATGCTAATACATTATAATTAGCTCATAATGAGCAACGAGGATGACCAGATGTCACTTTCATCACCATCCTGGACTTGGCGGGTTTTGGCTGGCTTCTTTACCACATCCTGTTTTATCAGTGGGGTCTCTGCGACCTGTTTTGTGCCAACCTTCTATCTTATCCCGTAACTTAAGCGTTTAAGAACGCATAAACTCCTGGGAATGCAGCCCAGTAGGTCTCAGCCTTATTTCACCCAGTCCCTATTCAAGATGGAATTGCTCTGGTTCAAATGCCTCCGATAATGGTGCAGGTGTCCAAGTGGAAGGAGCACTGGGGGCTCTGAGATCCCTAAGAGAGGCGCTGGCGTGTGACGTGAAGAATGGATTGGGCAAAACTTCTTGAAAGAAACAGTGTCAAGCTCCATAAGCCAGGTGAAAGGGGTAATGGGGAAAGGCACTTCAGATAGAGGGGGCAGGAAAGGCAGAGGCCCCCAGGGGTGGGTGAGAACTTTCTGGAATGTCCATAGACTCTGCTTAAAATCCTCTGGGTCTTCCCAGAGTACTTAGAAGAAAAATAATTCCCAGCCACAGCCAGCCATGGTGTGGCCACTGCCCACCTCCGGACTTCCTCCCCAGCCACAGAGCTCCATCATGCACACCTTGTATGTATTAAACACAACCCAGCCTCAGGGCCTTTGCACCTGCTGTTCCCACCAGGCACCCCTGCCTTACTCCAGCTAATTTTCAACTTTCAGACTGGTCTCAATGTCTTCCCTCACTGAAGGACACCACCTTACCACCTCACCACTAAACTCCTCCCCAATCTGGTTTTTTTTTTTGTTTTTTTTTTTTTTTAATTTGAAACAAAAAAAATCTCACTCTGTCATTCAGGCTGGAGTTCAGTGGCTCACTGTAACCTGCACCTACCAGGTTTAAGTGATTCTTCTGCCTCAGCCTCCTGAGTAGCTGGTACTACAGGTGTGCCCCATCACATCCGGCTAATTTCCCTCCCCAATCTGAAAGTGCCTCCCCACCACCCTCACCATGTTACCGTCCGCCACATCTCCTTGGTTATGTCCTTCAGAGTATGAATGTCTCATAGTGCAAAGTTATGCTTTTCAAAACAAAAGAGCATCCAGGGAGCATCTCCCTAACCCAAAGGGTGCTCTGTGAAGGTCAGTTTTGAAACGTATGGTCTTGACAGGGGTATTCTGAGGGCCTGAGAGGTCTTCTGCAGCTCCCCCTGAGTGTCTCTGGTCAGTGAGCTGCTCTTTACTGGACAGCAGATTGTATGATATGACAAAGAGGGATTTTTTTTTTTAAACAGTGTGCAGAGACATTTGTCTAGTGGGTAAAATAAAGGTCAAGTTTCGTACTTGACTCTGTCCTTGTTCCAATTCATGGTTGTTTGGCTGCCAGTGACAGAAATCTAAACAATGACTAAAACAATGAAGGTTTCATCGCTTGTCTTACAAAAAGAGAAATCTGCAGTCAGCATCCAGGGGTGGTATGTAGGTTCCACGTTGCCAAGAGGAGGATAGGCATCCGCTCTTTTTCTGCTCAGCATTGTTGTGGGCACGTCCCTCATGAGCATAGGTGGCTGCTGCTGCGCATGCAGCTGAGTCTGGCCCCTTCACTTGGCAACACTCACTGTGTCTCCTTGGTCACCTGCTTTGACTTCAAAGACAGCAAGGCTTTTTACAAGCATGCTACTGAAACCACTTTGCAAAAATTAAGACAGTGAGAAAATTTCAACAGTGAAAGAGATCTGACCTGACCTTCATCGTGCCTTTAACCTCCAGACTGCCCTTGGTCATTCCTGGGTGTGAGACAAGCTAACTTTGGGAGAAATTTAGTTTGTAATTTAACCTTAAAGCCAGGATGATAATAGCCCTTCCCCAAACTAAACTGTCAGGTTAGGATTACGAGGGGCCTGAATCCTGCTAAGATGTAGGAAGAGTTCAAGGACAACCGCCGTTGTTCCAGAGGTCACAATATTCATAATTACTCCTTGATTACTCCTGCAGATAACATGACTATTGTAGAATCTAAGACTGGCCTTTTGAAATGCACTTTCAGACTTTTGAATTTCTGAAGACTGGATGATTCCACCTGGACCCGAGGCTTGTGACCCGTTGGGTCCCGTGGCCCCACCCAGAAGCAGACTCAACACACCAGGACTCGTTTCCACACCTCTATGATTGTATCCCCAACCAATCAGCAGAGCACCCATTCCCTAACCCTCTCCCTACAAACTAACCTTCAAAATCCCTGGCCTCTGAATTTTCAGGGAGGCTGATGTGGGTAATAATAAAACTCCAGTTTCAGCTGGCTCCACAGGAATTGAACATTCTCTATTGCCATTCCCCTGTCTTGATAAATCAGGTCTATCTGGGCAGCCAGCAAGAAGAACCTGTGGGGCGGTTATACTACCAGGTTTAAATATCAACATATTCAGCTATAAGAGTTGAAAGCAATGTCCCAAGAGTATGGAAAAAGGGGGAGGGGGCAAAGAGAATGAGAAAATCCTTTTTTAGTAACAAACCTTATAGAAGTATTTGTTAATTTAATCTATTTGTACATCCCTTGGATTAAATAAACAGAAAAATAAAGATTGGAGTCATCTGTGAAGTGGCTCTGCAGCCAGCCCTGACCCCACCTCCTAAGAGATGGGCAGCCGCTCACATCCAGGAGCCTCTTCCTCACCTTCCTCCCCCTCCTCCCTCCTCATGCACAGTCTGACTGCAGCTTCCCACTGGAGCAGAAAGCAAAAGAGAAGTGATTGCACCTAATCACCTGGGTCATTTTCTCAGAAATTGCTTTCTTTTTCACCTTTTTTCATGAGGAACAAAAAGGAACAGGAAAGGCAGCTCAATTGCTGTTCCTGTGAGCTCTGGCTCTCCGGAGGGGGCTGGTCTGAAAGGGCAAATGCCTTTGGAGAAGGCTTCAATCTTCTCCCCCTCTGGAGAGAAGCCCAATTCAATGCCACTCTACAAAATGAAATGGCCACTTGCAGGGAGGCAGATAAGTCTGGGCCAAATGCTTTTCACATAAGCATGAGAGAGAAAAAGCAAGCAAAAGAGCTCACAGCTGCTAACCCGGGTGAGAGGCCCTGATCACTTCCATTAACTCCTGTGGCTCAAAGTCTTTGAAAGTGTGTCCCAGCTGGACTCACATGGTGTAGCCAGAAGTTGACTCTGATGACTGGAGTTTGAGCCCAACTTGGGTCTAACTTGCTGTGCGGTCAGGGAAAAGTCACTTAACCTCTCTGGACTTCACTTCCGCATCTGTCAAAGGAGGTGGAAGGATTTCTACTGTGAACACTGAGAGGGGCGATAGGAAAAGCAAATGAAACCATAGTATTGCCCCCCATTTGTAAATTGTGAGGGTACATTTAGAACATTTTTTTGGGCTTTGTGTCTCAGACAAATGTCCCTTATGTTAGCTCTTAAATGAGGCTGATCTGCTATAATCATTCCTTCTTGTCCGTGGTGTTCATGGGAGTGATAACCGTGTAACTGAGCGTGGTGGCTACTCCTTGAGTTAGGAGGGGCATGCCTTGGGGGCAGGTACTCCAAGGGCACGGCAGCACACACACAGACCACTCAACCCTCTCCTCATGTCTGGAAGCTAGAAACATGGTACTATTTTTCACGATAGTATTTTTCATGCCTTTGTACGTCTACACTGGAGTCTACCAATGTCAGCACTGTTGACATTTTGGGCTGGACAGTTCTCTGTGGTGGGACTGTCCTGGGCACTGGAGGATGCTGATTGGCATTCCTGGCCTCTACCCACTAGATGCCAGTAGCATCCTCCTCTTTTCAACTGTGACGAGCCAAAAAGATGTCTTCAGACGTTGCCAAATGTCCTCTAAGCGTAAAATTACCCCCAGCTGAGAACCACTAGTTTAGAAAAAAGATGACCTATGGCTCGGAAATATTAGATGACTTCTCTGAAGTCACAGAGCCGGTAAATGAAAGAGACGGCTCCAGCAGGCATGGCTTTTCAGTCCCAGCCAGTGCTCTTTAAACTCTCTCAGAGTGCCCTCAAGAGCAGAGTTTTATTGTGAGGATTACAGTGGAGTTGCATAGAACATGAATACAACAGAATACACTTGACAGAACATAAAGCATGGGAAGATTATCTTTAGCTTTATAACAAAGAGGATAGTAAATGTATGCTAATAATGAAACATTGAATATGTAAATGTATGTAAATAATCCAGCCGGAGCGTGCCCTTCTTTGGGCACCTGCCGGTGGGAGGAGGAAGTGGCAGATGGAGCTGTGATTCTGTCATTGTGTCTCTGTTGCCAAGGGCCACTCGAATATGCTCATTTACCCATGTTGAGGATGATCCTGGGGTCTGGACATCTTCAGCTGTTTCTACATCTGATGTCAGCCTTGCTTAGTAATTTCAGAACCTGAGCCAACATCAGGTGCTATCCTACTGTTTTTCAAAGAGGAGGGGGCTCCTGACCCCATGTCCCCACAGCAGAGTAGGTTGGCGACTGGTTGGTGGGAAACTGCGGGAAACAAAAATCCAGGAAAGGTGAATAAATTGTGAGCAAGCACCTCGCCGCTTACATAACGTAATTGAAATTTCCAGAAGCAGATGGATGATGACCTAGTTCCAAAGGTGCAGTAACTAGACGGTTTTATGACACGGGCAGCCCGTCAAGTGTCGGGGACGTTCTGATGCAGATTTACAGATTTCAGGGCTAGCAGACTCTCATACCTCTTCCAACTCATTGCTTTTAATTAAGTTATTAGATATGAAAAAAAAAAAAAAAACCAAAAACTTCTAGTCCAGTCTGTCGTTTGACCTTTCAGTGGGCCTCTGACTACGTCTCTGACTATGTTTTTAAACCGATGGTCAGCAAGTGCATACCCCAGGCGTGCGCCCTGGGAGGAAACAGTGGCTAAGCACGCCACACGGCATCTAACTCACCAACAAATTCAGCTGCACACTGAGGCAGTGGTGAGACGCAGAGATTAACTTGATGCAGGGCAGGAATTCAGCTAGTCTTTGGGCTCCACAGAGGGAGGCCCTGGGCACTGAATGCCGTGATGTCTAGAAGTCCATGAAAGCTTGGAAAACCTATAGAAAGAGCGTGAGGATGATTCAAAGGGCTTCGCAGGCATGAAGCAGGAGGGAAGTACTGCTCTTTCAAGTGGCCCCTGCAAGCTTCCTCAGTGTCCTTGAGGAATCTAAAGAGCCTTGGCTAGCTAGTGGTTAGGAGGATGTAGAGTGTTAGGGGCTAGAGTCAGGCTGCTTGGGAGTGAGTTGCAGCAGCCTCACCTGGTGCTAGGCAACACTGAGCAGGTTAACTAATCTCTGCTTTTTTCTCTGTGTGTGTGTGTGTGTGTGTGGTATGTATGTGTGTACGAAATGGAATTATCATGAAGATAAATACTTAGTTCAGCTAGATGAAATTGCTATTCCTCACAGGAAATTGTCAACTCTAGGCGATTTTGTATGGTTCAACCTAGTATCCGTGGGGAATTAAGTTAAGAGTTGAAAAGTTCTGACAGCCATGCCTGGCATTGAGCAGCCCCCGGTAAGTGATGGTATCCTACTCACAAAGGCTTAGGGAAATGCACAGCCTCTTCTCTATGTGTCTGTGTGGTGTGCTTCGCACTAGTGATCTTCACGCTCTGTCACAACCCATGTCTACTAGTCAGGGTTCCCTAAAGGGACAGAACTAGTAGGATATATGTACATATGAAGGGGAGTTCACTAGGAGAATTGATTCACATGTGCGCAAGGTGAAGTCCCACACAGGCCGTCTGCAAGCTGAGGAACAAGGAAGCCAGTGTGAGTTCCAAAACCTCAAAAGTAGGGAAGCCAACAGGGCCGCCTTCAGTCTGTGGCTCAAGAGTCCCTAGCAAGCCACTAGTGTAAGTTCAAGAGTCCAAAAGCTGAAAAACTTGGAGTCTGATGTTCCAGGGCAAGAAGCATCCAGCATGGGAGAAAGACGGCGGCCGGAAGACTCAGCCAGTCTACTCCCTCCGCGCTCTCCTGCCCGCTTTTATCCTAGCCTCATAGCAGCTGCTGAGATGGTGCCCACCCAGACTGAGGGTGGGTCTGCCTCTCCCAGTCCACTGACTCAAATGTTAATCTCCTTTGGCAACACCTTCACAGGCACTCCTAGGAACGATGGTTTGCATCCTTCAATCCTAGCAAGTTGACACTTAATATTAACCATCACACTATCAGAGGATTGTGAGTTGTTAATAGGCTAAGATATAAAATCAGTGGGTCAGAATTGTTCCCAGTAGGATAGAATACGGAAAAAACAATAGGAAAGGAAGGGAACTAACATTACACATCATAAAATAAACATTAAGTGGCTCGTCAATTCCGTCATGTGTGTATCTGTCCACATGCATGTGTCTGTGCACAAATATGTACCAGATCACAATGAAAGATACATTTCATGCCACACATTAGAGGCAAATAAAGTTTTAAAGTCAGTGCACTAGACCATATATGTGGGGCCTTAGGAGTACTTGCGGGAATTTTTAAGAGTGATTTTGACTGTGCCACTCACTGATCTGTGGTCTTGAGCAAGTTGCTGGGCCCCTCTGTGTCTCAGCTTCTTCATCTGGAAAATGGTGAAGACCCTTGCACCTGCCTCCCAGGACTGAGGTGAAAA